CATCCCGGAGCCACTAAGATGTATTTGGATTTGAAGAAAGACTATTGGTGGCCCTGTATGAAGAGGGATGTTACATGGGTTGTTGAGAGGTGCTTGACCTGTCGTAGGGTTAAGGCCAAGCACCAGCGTCCGCATGGCAATTTGCAGCCACTTGAGGTTCCCCAGTGGAAGTGGGAACAGATTTCCATGGATTTTATCACCAAATTGCGAAGGACCGCGAGGGGTGTCGATGCGATTTGGGTGATTGTCGACCGGCTGACGAAGAGCGCGCACTTCCTTGTTATCAGTGAGAGCTCTTCTGCAGAGAGATTGGCAGAGTTGTACGTGAGAGAGGTGGTATCGCGTCATGGAGTACCGATCTCGATTGTGTCAGATCGAGATGTACATTTCACTTCCAGATTCTGTAAGAAGTTCCATGAGGAGTTAGGTACGAGGCTGCATTTTAGTACCGTATACCACCCACAGACGGACGGGCAGAGTGAGCGGACGATTCAGACGCTCGAGGACATGCTCCGAGCATGTGTGTTGGACTTCGGGGGAAGTTGGGACACGTATCTGCCGTTGCCTAAGTTTTCTTATAACAACAGCCACCATTCGAGTATTGGTATGCCTCCCTTCGAGTTGTTGTATGGGAGGAGGTGTCGGACTCCCATTTGCTGGGGAGAGGTAGGGCAGCGTGTGATGGGTAGCACTGAGATAGTGCTTCGGACGACAGAGCAGATACAGCAGGTTAGACAGAGGTTATTGACGGCTCAGAGTCGTCAGAAGAGTTATGCGGATAGGCGACGGTCCGAGCTTGAGTTCCAAGTGGGAGACTTCGTACTCCTGAAAGTGTCTCCTTGGAAAGGAGTGATCCGATTCAGGAAGAGGGGCAAGCTGGGGCCTCGATACATCGGTCCGTTCAGGGTGACCACGAGGGTGGGCAGGGTAGCATATCGGTTGGAGCTACCTGCGGAGCTGAGCCAGATTCATGATACCTTCCACGTGTCTCAGTTGAGGAAGTGTATAGCCGACGAGTCGACAGCGGTACCACTGGAGGATATTCAGGTAAATGCAAGCCTGAATTATGCTGAGAGGCCAATCGCGATCCGGGATCGGAAGATCAAGGTTCTGAGGAACAAGGAAGTGTCCCTGGTGCAGGTCCAGTGGCAACATTGGAAAAGGTCCGAGCTGACTTGGGAGCCGGAGCTGGAGATGCGGGAGCAGCATCCAGAGTTGTTTGACGAGCAAGACTTCGAGGGCGAAGTCTGATTCTAGTGGGGTAGAATTGTAACATCCGGATTTCCAGGTATGCTATAAAGTTCATTTATTTTGAGTTTATTGGAGGGACTCGGCGAGTAGGCGCTCAGACTCGGCGAGTAGGAGCGCGTAATTCTGGTCCGATTTAATGAAGGACTCGACGAGTCGATGCGTGGACTCGGCGAGTCCGCGCTGTAATTTGAAACCCTAACTCTCGGGGTCTGTGCCCTATTTAAAGGCCTTTATAGCCTCCATTTGCGGCCACTTCATCCCAGAGAAACCCTAGAGACAGCAGTGAGAGAGTTGAGAGCAAGAGGAGGCTAATACATCACTTTTGGTGTAGTTTTGCTAGAAGGAAGAAGGAAACACCCATCTAGAGAGTGAAGGGGGCTTGGATCTGGGCTAATCATCTTGAGAATTCATCTCTGGAGGTATAATCCTTTCTATTTCATGTTGATATGATAGATTTCATGTTATAGGGTTTTTACCTCCATTTTATGTGAGATCTAGTGAGTATGAGGTCCCCTTTGTAATAATAGCATCAGATCTGGACCATTAGAGGTCCATAGAGTCATTATCCCTCAGCTTTATGCAAGCAAATGAGAGTTTGGGGACTAGGTTGCCATTTTTAGAGTTATTTCTTCATTTGTGTCTTGTTGTGGGTTGCATGCACGTAAAGGTTGCACCTTTACGTGACATTTGAACACTTGAAGGGTAGATCTGATAGTTAGGGAAGCAGATCTGACCTTAGAAGGTCATTTGAGTAAGAACATGGAAGCAACTCGCCGAGTCCATAAGTGGACTGGACGAGTCGAGTCGGGGTTGCCCCGCGATTCGTGACAGGTGTAACCCGTTGAGTGGGACGATGACTCGACGAGCCAAGAGAGGTCAGAAGGATTCAGAGAACCCGCATGGACTCGCCGATTCGCCCTTGTGCACTCGACGAGTCAGGTCAAAGTTTGACCGTTGACTTTCGTTACTTTCGTTGACTTTAGGGTTCTGGTCAAGACTGATTCAAGAGAGTTCAGAGAGGGGTAGAATGGTCTTCTACCCAATCTGTAGAGATGAGGTTATGAGAGAATATTGATCGGGAATGTTATTTGAATAATAGGAGGAGGCTAGGTCGGGACGTTGAGCACGAGAGTTTATCCGACTTCATTGAGGTGAGTCTTCTCACTATACTGTACCTGGAAGGGTACCTATGTGTGACCGGAAGGTATTGTATGCTAGGAGATGTATGTGCTATATGCGGTTATATGATATGTATGTGCTATGTATGCTATGTATGGTATGGACCGGAAGGTCAAGATGATATGGACCGGAAGGTCAAGATGACATGGACCGGAAGGTCAAGAGGTTATGGACCGGAAGGTCGATATGGGTAGGACCGGAAGGTCTACCGGGATTCGGGACGGAAGTCCCCTGAGACATATGGATCGGAAGATCCTACAGAGTTATGGCCTGGAAAGGCGTATGTGTTGTATGTGGTATCTTGGGGAACTCACTAAGCATTTATGCTTACAGATGTTATGTTATGTGTTTCAGGTACTAGTGATGATCGCGGGAAGGCGTCGGCATGATCCGTACATACTCATAGAGATTATGTTTTGAGATTCTGGGACATGTTTTTGTTACGACACAGTGAATACATTATGTTTTATGATTATCGTGTGATTGAAAGTACGATTTAAAAATGAAAAAATTGTTTTGAAAATTTACGTTGTTACAAGTATAGTATAAATACAAATAAATCATTTTTGTTTATGTTGTTATTTATTTAGAGATCATATTGGAAAACATATCAGTAATAATGTATTTGTCACCGAGGCCTTTGATGTTTGAAACAAAACAAAGAGATTTTTGAGTCATGTCGGTGTAGTTAATAGTTTTCACAATAGAGTATTAAAAAATATAAAGATGAATGGAACAAAATTAATCCATTTCTATTTCCTTTCATAAGCTAAGTAAAAGTGAAAAGAAAGAGAATCACATCCGATTAAATGCTTTCATTAAGGTGTGTAGACATCTACTTAATGGGTCAATAACATTTTGTTGACATAATGAGTCGAAAACGTATTTGCATAGAGGAGAATTTTTTAAAACGGTAAAACTAGTTCGGAAATTAAGTGAGAATGTCCGACTCTCTTGTATGTGTGATTGTGTTCCTTTTTGTGTTAATAAGATCAATGGTGACAATTCTTGACACATCACATAACTGACACGCAAATAAACAAGTTTGGGTTAATCTTAAACGGGTTGGGATCATAAATAAATTGACCCACGTAACATGTTTATTATACGGGCCGTGTCAGGTTGACAAATAAGTTCAAACATCGCTGTTTATTATAATCTAAAAAACTTATTTATTAAAAAAAATTGATTGTTCATTCCCGTTCGATGCGTGTATTGATGTTTGAAAAATTAACTCCAAACATAACAGATGAGAATTTTGACAAAGATACTAATAAACTTTAGTTTGCCTTTGGTGAGTGTTTTTTAATCCAATTATAGAATTTTTACTTATGTAACTTTCAAGAAATATAAATTTACCTTTGCATTTTGTTTCTACTTTAAATTAGTTATGATGAAGAAAACTTTGATAGAAAGCATGTTGAAACAGCAACAACAAAATTTGTTTTCGGGGGACGAAATGAGAATTATGGCCATGTCTCTTATGTATTAATATTTTTAACTTTTTATTCGTATTAGTACTTAGAGTTTGTATGGGTTTATTTAGTATGCTTTCATGAACGTTTTCAACTTCTTATTTCTATAAGTTTTTTAATTTGTATGCGTTTTTTTTTTTTGGAATGTTTTTAACTTTTTTTTAATATCATGTTTTTTTCCGGAATATCCCCTGAATAAACGATTATGACACTCCAAAATGAATATGACCTGTTAATCCCTATACTTAAACGGGTTAGATAGGTCGTGTACAAGTTAAACATTAAATCTATATGGAATAGAATTGAAAAACACGATACGAAATTATATGGATTGTGTTGGGTTAAATTTTCTAACTTACCAACACACTGTTCATCAACCTGAACATGACATAATTGTCGTCCAAAAGAGATCATACATAAATACATAATCATTCTAATTACAAAAATTTGTAACAATACCGCTGAAAGACTGAAACATCATTGATGGGTGTTTCTTTGTTTGATTCTTTATTATTATTTTTCTTTACCTTCATAGCCGGTAGCCAAAAAAAAAAAAGTAGACGGACTAATCTGAAAAATTCCCGTTGCCTTTACGTAATGGAAGGGAGAAATTGTGTGTGGTTGGTATATACTTGGTTGTAGGAGTATTTAGGTACAAGTGTAGCATCATTTGGGCCACATGAGTGGACTTTTTTTTCCCAATTGAGGAAAGTTTTGGACATTAGTTCAAAGAAAAAAAAAGAGAACATATTCTCACTTTAGGTCAATTTATTCAAATCTCAGTTTACAACTACTATACTTTAGATATAAAAGGCTTCATTTATAGGGAAATTGTCATAAAAGCCCTTAAGTTTTTCAAAAAATGTCGGTTTTACCCTTGGATGAGTTTTTGGGGTATTAAAGTCGGATACTTTCACTAAATGTATCAAATATCTCATTTAACAGGTTGGACCCTTAGTAGCCGGTTACCCATGTGCTGATTTGGCATTTAATTGACATGTCAAACAACATGGCCCCATTTTATAACCCTCTCCCACATAACCCTTCCCCCCTTGTTTCTTGCATCCTCTCGACTGCAGTATTCTCCCACGCAAAATGCCAACATCTTCTGCAAAATCAAGCTCTAATGTGAATTCACGATTCAAGAAGAAGATCGAAGTGAAGTGTTGGTGTGAAGATTTATGCCCTGTGTTTGTTTCACGCACACCAGAAAATCCAGGCAAGAAATTTTGGGGGTGCCCTAATTATAACGTAAAAATCATTTTTCCTTTTTCTTTAGTAGGATTACAGTAAGGGTATTATGCATTGACCTAATTATGTAGGGGGAAGGAGGTTGTGGGTTTTTCAGATGGGTTGACGATGAAGGAGTTCAAAACAAGATATTATGCCAGAGTCAAATCGGATTACAGAGCAGCGACAAATGATGACATTAATGCAAATGGTTGTTGTTTTGTTAGGGGCTATATTATTCTTGCTTGTTCTAGTAGTATTCAAGATTTAATGGCAGTTGGTTGTTACGCCACTAGTATTATGATCTTGAAATATGTAGCTTTTGATGGTATGAAATATGTAGCTTTTGATGATATTTGATACTTTGGTAGGTATATGTAATGTTAGGATTGTAATTTGTAATGTATGGATTTTTATTGCAATGTATGGATGTTAATTTGTAGTGTATGGATGTTAAATGGAGTACAAGTTGGTTTGTTTTGTAAGTATATTACATAAAATGGTATTGCAGTAAATGGATGTTAATTGCAATGTTGGATGATTAATTCCAGTAAATGGAATTTGGAGTACAAAAAAGGTAAGTTGTATGAATTTGGAGTAGAAACTGTTGAATGGTAACAATTGGTGAATGGTAATAATTGTAATTTCAGTAAATGTAACAAGTTGTATGAATTTGGAGTAGATTAAATTAAAATGGTAATTGGTATGGATTTGTATGAATTTGTAGTACAAGTTTAATTAAAATGGTAACTGAATTAAAATGGTAATTGTTATGAATTTGCAGAAACAATTAGTGAATGGTAACAATTCTAAAAGATTAAACATAATATAGAAGGGGGTGTATCCATTACATATAGTTTAATTACATACTACCCATATGTAGCAGCCATCCATTTGTACCAAAATGCCTAAATAATGCACAAAAAAGGCAACCTAAATGGTAACAATTGGATGCATGCTGCAATCAAAGTGCCAAAAAACAAAGTTTACAAAAGTGGCAACCCTGCAATCAAAATGCCAAAAAACAAAGTTTACAAAAGTGGCAACCTATACCATCCCACTACACCCCCATCCCCATTCTTGCTAACAAACTACTCCAAGTTAATTGGATTTACAGAAGAAGAACCACCACCATCTTTGTCATAGACACCATTCCTTAGCTTTATCTTGGTAATCCTCTCATATGTTTTCCTTGTTCTCCTAACCAATGGGACAACCTCATATCCTTCATCATCACCCTGATTTTCCTCATCATCACCCAATTCTTCAACACCACCTTCAGGTCCACCAGTATCACCTTCAGGTCCATCACCATCACCAATAGCTTCATCTCCAGCACCTTCAGCTCCACCATCCAGACCAACATCATCATCAGAATGATGACCATCAATAAAATCATTTACATCCTAGTGTAAAAAGATATAGTTAGTTCACAAAAATCACCAGAAAATTTTTTAATTAATAAAAGATAATAGGTCTTACCAGTTCAACTGGTAGGGAATCATCCAATTCCACTTGTACCCCTGGCATAGCTTCTATTTCTGTCATGCTATAACCAGCTTCTAGCATATTAGCAATGTCTTCAAGTCCTACTTGTATCTTCTCTGGGAGAATATCATCCTCTTTGCCCTCAGTAAACTCAATAACATCATTATCTTCCACCTCATTGTCACCATTTAGTGGACTGAACTTTGTTTTGTTTGTGAAGTTAACCTCTTGTAAAATTGCATCAATACCTTGTTCAATTTCATCATTTATTGATTTAAGCTTCCAACCAAATACTGGATCCTACTTGCCCAAAAAGTTTCACTACCTTCCATCACACTTGTTTGACTAGTTCCTCCTTCTTGCATCATATGACCATCCTGAATATGAATTATTGAAACTTCCTGCACAACACCTTCTTCTTGCACAACACCTTCTTCCTGCACCACACCTTCTTTTACAACAGTAGGAACTTCTACAACTGGAACTTGCTGAACCACACTTTGACCCACATTATAACCTTCTTGCATGACATTTTCACCAATCACATTTTCACCCTCATCAGCAACTGGAACTTGTTGAACCACACTCTCTTGAGTACCTAAAGTTGGAGTATTATTCCCAGTTTTTGCAGAACCAATCCTCCCACCACCTCTCCTTGTGCACAACTTCTTCCTAGGTGCATCAATACTATTTCTCCTAAATCTTTTAGAACCAACCTGTTGCTGATGTTTTCTTGGACTCATCCTTAATGTGTTATGTTTTCTTGGACTCCTCCTCACTATGTTAGAGCATGAAGGTTGACTTGGGACATTTGGTTGACTAGGAGTTGTAGTATTGTTTTATGTCATTCTCTCATTTAGTGATTGGTTAGGAACAGATACATGGGGGATGGGATGTTTTCTTGGCCTTCCTGTCTTCTTTGGTGGGGGAGGCACATATTGTTTTCTCCCATTCTTACATGCCCTCTTGTTATGACCATATTCCAAACAATTACCACATCTGGTAGTTCTTGCAACCTTCACTTTTGTTGTTGAAAACTTTCTCTCCTTTTCACTGGCATGCCTCTTTCTTTTGGTAGCAGGCCTACCAGGCATCCTCCTAGACATTGGAGGTAATGGCTTAATGTACTCAGTTTGGGCCCAAAGATTGCTGCCATTAACAGGTTCAATGTTTGTTGAGTAACACTGCCTAAATTTCTCTTTAGAGAAGTATGCATTGATGTATGCATCTGGTGTTTGATGGATAAAATTAATTGCTGCATTTGCATGCACACAAGGGATGCCAGCTAAATCCACAGCCTACATGAACAGGTCATATCATCTAAGTCCACCCTATAACTGTCACACCCTCTTCTGGCCTCAAACACATACCCTTGACTATGAATTATTCCCTACAACCTACAATCAAGTATCTAGTTAGTAACAATAATTAATGATTAAGACAAGTTTTAGAAAGCATAAAATAATACCTCATATTTTTCCCAAATCTATTCATTTTTTTCAAAAATTTTGGACAAACATTTGAATTCCACTTTTCACTTTCCTCATTCATGTAAGCAAACCTGTCCATGATATAAATATGTATCTCTTCAAGCCTGGTGATCAAAGGTTTTTTCCTAGCATCCAATATTATTGAGTGAAGCACTCTGAGATCCCATTCTCAACTGCTTCACATGCATAGCCTGATCCAAAATAGGCTCTACACCATGTTTCTGGTTGCTTTGACATCAAGTATTCATATGCAGAAGGGTTCAATTTCTTGATGCTTTCCATATGCCTCTTGAAGTCACCTTGTGTGCAACTCATAGAGGCAGCCCAAAACAACTTCTTAATATTCCAAACCTGTGAAAGCCTTTCTAAAGTTGGCATAAATGTGCCTAGCACAATTCCTGTGTTCAACATGAGGCAGTATATCTTTCACAGATTCAAGCAGACCCTACAAGACAATCATTTAATTAGTTTAATAGAGGAGAAATATGTAATAAGATAACTATGCAATTAAGTAGAGGACAAGTATGTAAAATTTTACCTTGTGTTGATCTGATATCACTACCAAACCTCTTCCACTATCAAGATCTAAATCATCCCTTAGAAGCTCAAGGAACCATGTCCAGTTAGCCTTATTCTCAACATCCACAACAGCCCAAGCAATTGGGTAGACATGATTATTGGCATATCTACCCATGGCTGTCAACAACTCACCCTTTACTACTCCCTTAAGAAAGCACCCATCCAAACCAATAACTCTTCTACACCCTCTTTTCCAGCCTTCACATATAGCTTTGAAACCAATATAAAACCTATGAAAATTGTTTATCCCATCTGGATTGACAGTTACACACACCTTACATGTAGAGCCTGGATTGGATCTTAAGAACTCTTGTACATAATCCCATATTCTGGCATAATGTTCAGTCAATTTACCTTCAGTTAGCTCCTTGGCCCACTTCTTGGCCCTACGATATTGGCCTATAGACACAGCATACCTAAACCTTTGTCTGATGTCAGTAATCATCTCTTTAAGCTTCACCTTAGGTTTATTTGCAATTTTAGTTATGTAGTGTCTACCTATCCATTCAGGAGTAACCATAGAGCCAAGTTTGAACTTCCTACCACAAACATGAGTAGCTTCTAAAGTCTTGATTTGAATAGATCTTTCATTGAACATCCATGAGGCATACAGTCTGAAAGGGTGTGACATTCCCATTTTCACGGCCAGAAAAGACCGATTTTGTTTATGCCTGTTTGAAAATCAGAGTAGCATTTTAAATAAAAGTGTTGTGGAATTTGTCCCAAAAACAAAATATGATAAAGATTTATCAAAAGCATTTCCAAGGAAATGTATTTCATTAAAAGACTCGGGATATCATGTTCGATACAGATCAAAAGCATAAACAGTACAATATAAGCCTTACTACATTATTTCATATCTACAGGCCTATATCAGTAATCCCTCATCCAAAACATCACATCTATGCTCGAACGCCACCACCTGTAATACATGAAACTGATTGGGTCAGGCTTAGGAGCCTGGTGAGCACATAGGGTTTTCAACCCACAATAAATAATTTATTAAATTCATCAACCAACAATAACCCGATTAGCCGTTCCCGTTATCCTCACATTACGTCCCTAAACACCTATCATAAGGGACCTAGACTAAGGATCATTATCGGGATGGACACCACTGCTAAGGGGGTTCCTCAGCAATAAATGTCCTAAAGGCAACCATGAGGGGGATGGAGTACATCGGTGAACACATCGTTCACAAACACCTACAGGTTGCGAGCCTGCTAGCGTTCCACTGGACTGTCTAGAAGAGTCTGTGGTCGTCATCTATACTCCGCTAGATGACTGTATCACCAACAAGATCGATGCCTCTCATCATTTTATCACACATCATCTATTACATCTACCCATGTTATACCCCAACATTTTTGTAGATATAAAATACATATACAGTTTAAATCATTTAAAACATGTATAAAAATCTTTCATCAGCATAGACAGCAAGTATTCAGACAATATGCACACATAGCACGTAATTTATATTAAATACTTCATATCTATGTGTAAGATGAAAGTGACTATGCACTCACCTGAGAAGGTGGTGACTAGATACTCGGACAGCGCTTCGTTATCTCAAAACAATTTTCCTTGACCAAAACCTAGTATCAATACCACTAGGGTTTAGTTTTAACGTTGACCGCGACTAATTAATAGTCTAGCTATTATTATTATTATATAAGCGTTAAATAACACTCAATATAACTCATAATAATAGTCCAAATAATTATTTTAAGGACCTAATAACATTACTATAATTATTTAAAAGTTATATTAAAAATTGCGTAGGCGTAGCTCACTTACAGCGGATTTTAAATAAAATCGGGCCTTGCTCGGAGCAGCGTTTCCGAACCGAAAGACCCTTTTTCTCGGGACTCCGGGAGCCTCGGGGCTTCCTTTGGGTGCTAGGGATTTTTCCTAGGGTTTAGGGGTGGTTTGGAACCTTAAAGAGAGAAAGAATTTAGAGAGAGAAAGAGAATTGGTGTGATTTGCTCGGCAGCCCTCGCAGGTATTTATAGCCGCGAGCCTCGGACGTACGATGGGCGTAGTCCTTGGCTACGCGGGGCGTAGTCTTCGGATAAGGCCCAGCTCGGATCCAGCTGTCTCCCACTCGGAACGGATAAGGCTAAAGGTACGTTGGGCGTACCCAAATTCGGACGCGGGGCGTAATGGCGAGGCGACATGTCTCCATCCGAAGCGAAGCCTTGGGCAACAAGCAACGGCTCAGATCTTGCCACGTCATCACAGTTTCGTAAATTCGACTACAAACTTTAAAAATTCGTAACTTTCGCGTACGAGCTCCGTTTTCGACGTTCTTTATATCCACGCGTAGGCGGGAACGTACTCTACAACTTTCGTTTAGACTCCGTCGGCTAATTTTGACTTTATTTTAAAAGTTATATTTTTAACAGGCCGGGACAGGATTGGTCCGTTAAAAATTCATAACTTCTTCATCCGACGTCCGTTTTCGTCTGTCTTTTTATCGTTATGCTACTATTAACGAGATCTTCGATTCTCGTTTAGGTTGTGTCGGCTAAAAACCGCTCGATCTAATATTCGAACTTCGGGCTGTACACTGCTAAGCCGAAACTTCGAAAAATCATAACTTCCTCATACGAAGTCAGATTTGGGCGTTCTTTTTATGGACGCTCTCGGTTTAACGTTTTCTACGACTTTCGTTTAGATCGCTAAGGCTAAAAATCGCTTTATCGTAAATTCACTATTTACGCTTCCCGGTGTCGTGCCGGTTTCATCACGAAACTTCGACGGGTCATAACTTCTTTGTTATAACTCGGATTTCGGCGTTCTTTATATCCCCGGAATCCTTGTTTCGACTACTACAACTTTATGTAAAGATATCGGGCTTATCTCACACTTTAATTTTGACGCTTATTTTTATCTTTATTAATTATACATTTATAATTAAACAATAAGCATATAAATTCACATAATTCACAAAATACTCAAATATTTCATCTTTATTACATCAAAAGAGTTACAATAGTTGACCTAGACTATTACATCGTCTAAAATGCTTAGCCCGAAACCCGGGCGTTACAATTCTCTCCCCCTTAGGATGATTTTGTCCCGGAATCATGCGTCAGCAAACAGATGCGGATAGCGACTCATCATGTCATCCTCTGTTTCCCAAGTGAGATTCGGCCCATTCGAATGTTTCCATTGGACTAGCACTAAGTCGACCATCTTGCGTCGTAACTTCTTAGTCTTACGGTCAACAATTGCCTCGGGCTCTTCAATCAGCCTCTTGTTTTCATCCATTCTTAACTCTGAGATGGAATTATGTCGGGAACTTCTCCCGTGAATTTCTCAGATAACACACATGGAAGGTGTTATGAATACCATCGAGTTCTTCGGGCAATTCCAGCTTGTAAGCTTGGTTCCCAATCTTCTGAAGAACTTTGAACGGTCCAATAAACCTTGGACTCAACTTTCCTCGTTTCCCGAATCTTATAAGTCCCTTCCACGGTGAGACTTTAAGCAAAACCGAATCCCCAACTTCGAAGGTCATCGGTCGTCTTTTCTTGTCAGCATAGCTCTTCTGACGATCCTGAGCTGCTAACATTCTTTCCCTAATCACCTTCAGTTTCTCAGCAGTCTCATGGACTATCTCGGGGCCCATAAACTGCTTTTCTCCAGCCTCAAGCCAACAAGACGGC